ATGAAAAGTGATGTTTAACTAAAGGAAAAAAAAAAAAAAAAAAAAAAAAAAAAATGACTCTAAGATATAAGAGTAGAATCCACTTAACACTTAAGTCTGAGATTCACTTATGTGTGTTGATTTCAACAGATGCATGATGATGAAGGTGATGATGATGACGATTTTCTAAGGGCAGAAGTTTTCATAGAGTAAGTAAACAATGCAGGCCTGGTGCTCATTAACTCAATGAAGTCCTTTAATTAAAATGTTAATTATATCTTGTGGACAAAGCAGAGAAATGTATTAATAACAGGAAGAAATAAAAAACTACCCCAAGATTCAGAAATCTTTATGTGAACACTTTGTTTCATTAATCAACAGTGTTGATTAATGAAGCAATCTGAAGATGGATGAAAATGGTATAACACAGGTCTCTGAGATTTACTTTGCTGTTTATGCATTTTCATCAGTAATTTGTAAGACATATTTCAAAGGCACACTTCTCAAATTGTAGACGGTCCTAAACCAGGATAGAGAGAAAAGGTATATACAGGATGAGATAATCGAAAATAACATTTTTTTGATGGGCAAGGACCCAATTAAAGCTCTTCTAGATTTTCAAAATCAATTGTGCATATGTAAAAGTGACTTCATTTGACTTGATAGCAGCTCATATGGGAAAAAATATATAATAAAGTTGTGGATTTTAAGTGATCACAAACTCAACGCATATGATTGTAAAGGAAGCCAGTATCATCAAGCATGCATCAGTATCAGCCAATGGCCTTCTAATGCCTGGGAGCCAATCATTATAATTCATCCTGCAACAAGGAGATTGCATCTGGTTGTTATTCTTAGTTCTCATTCCTGTGCTGTGAGTGACAATTTGTATGATTAGAGGACATCACTGAGCAATTTAGATCTTAAAATGATTTTAAAAAATCATTGAGGGAAGTGTTAAAAATTAAAAATGAAGCCTCAATGGGGCAGTCAAACTTCTTTCAAGAATATAAGGCCAGTTGTTGGCGGCACCAATGAAATGCAATGCTCTGCAATGCTGAGGCCATGTAAGAAGAGTCCAGGGTTTTAAGCAAGATTTGCCCATGCATGTTGAATAGCAGAGGCTGGGGCAGGACTGACCTGTGAAGACTGCACTGGGTTGCTTGCCTGTATGTATCATCTTATTTTGTGGAAGAACTAAATAAATAAATATGGAAGTCCATCCCGAGATACATCTGTTTTTGTTTTGGTAAAGTACAGAGTCGGCTCAGGTGGACATGTGACAGAAAACCTTCTTCTGGCTCAGTGCTTGTAGTCAAAGACAATGAGACAAAGAGGGTGAGATGGAGCTTTGAAGCCAATCATACCTCAGGTATTCAGTCATTCATAATTCAAGGATCAACAGGTGGGGCCAGCAGGTGGCACAGAGGTTAAGGTGCTGGACTACCACATAGCCAACCATGGTTTGAATCCTGGACCTAGTGGTTTGAAAATCATGCCAGGCATGAGTTCACATGTGCCCAAAATCCCAAGAGAAGAATGGAGGAAAAGGAATTAGACCATGGCCATTCTGTTGGGGAGGATTTCTCATTTTCCCACTCTCTGTCTTTGACTCTCTGGTGAGCACATGCACCCTATGGCAAAAACCTAAAAAAAAAATATTAAAAATTTACAAAAAAGTAATCAATAGGTATTTTAAGAACCCTATCATATAATGACGCATTTCTCAGAATGTGTCCCCATCATTAACCAATGCATGAATGTATTTAACAACTGTATGGCATGAACATCAACCACTCAGAACAGAGACCTGATTAATCAGAAAAGAGACCAGCTATGCACAGCAATATCATCACTCTCATGAGTATGGTGTCTCAATCCAGTATTACCAGTCTAGGGAGCAACGATCTACGAGCAATCACAGCACACTAAGATATCAGCTGTACTGGAAGTCTGAATGAAATGTGATAGCAGCACATGACAAAAAAAAAAAAAAGAAGGCAGCTACTTTTTGCAGGATGAATTATAATGATCAGCATTTAAGAGGAAGCTTGATGAAGTTTGGTAAACCAGCTGGTGAAAAGAATATTACAAGAAAGTTCCAACCCTGCAACAGATGTTTGGTGTGTCCAGGAACCACAAGTATTTCAAAACTTCATCATGAGGTGGAAAGTGAACAGCAGGCACACAGAGGCCAGTCTTACATGGTTATGTCTACTATGCAAAGAAGTATGGATGCCATGATTTGGGCTATGCGGGGCTACTGAAGGATTGTGGGCAATAAAGTGACATCAGAATTCTTTAACAGAAAAATCACTCTGATGGCAATTGGAAAGACAGAATAAGGCTACTGCAACTATTTAGGACTGGTCTAAATTTGAGAAGTAGCAGAGAAAGAGTAAGGAAGAGATTCATGTCAAGGAAAACAGGAGGTGATCAGTAAACATTTATTAATTCAAGTAGTAAAATTCATTGATTTCTTTTTTTAAATTTATTTCTTCCATGAGAGATAGACACAGAGAGACAGCATTCCCAAGCAGGGAGGAGTCTTGACTTCACTATCCATCCCTAGCCCCTGCCAGTCCCAAATGAATACGCACATTATACACATGGCCAGCATATTCAGGGAAGTGTGTAGACACAAACGTAGAACTGGGACCAGCAGTTAGCATCACGGCTATGTCTCTGGCCTCCCACGTAGTCAACCATGGTTCACGTCCCGACCCGGTGGCTTAAAACTCATGCCAGGTGCGTGTGCATGTGTGCCCAAGATCCCAAGAGGAGAATGAAGGAGAAGGGATTGCAGCGTGGCCATCCCCCCCCATGGAGTGATTTCTCGCTTTCTAAAAGTCTGTCTCTCTCTGTCTATCTGGCGAGTGCACACACCCTATGGCAAAAACCTCTCAAAAAAAAGAAAAAAAATGTAGAACTCCCTATGTGGAACAGGCTCACAGAACATCACATTTTACCACTGTCCTATTTTATTATGTATCAATCTAACTAGACTGATACGTTGCCTGGCCCCCAACACATGTATTTCTTGCTTGGTAAACTGGGCTCATTCACTGAGACGTAAATTTGGGATGGGATGTATAACTAGAGACTATTGAAAATATTATTATTCAGAGTTTCCTGGTTCTATGTTTTACAAAGGAAACATTGCCTAAATTATGAGAATAAAGCTTCAGACCTTTTACATCTGTAACTATCCCAAAGAACTATATTGAAGAAAACAAAAAGTTGAAGTCCAAATGAACTTGAGAAAAGTAATACTTTTTCACATAATAGCTGAGAAAAAGAAGTCTACAAAGGATATGAAAGTCACAACTTTCATGTGGGTAGCCTTGGGCATGTCACTTTGCCTCAATGAATGTCAATTTCCCTAAGTTATAACTTGGGGATAGTAATACATAAACCATGTTAGTCCTTGTCTCTCCTTTGTAGATATTTCAGGTCTGAGTCTGACTAGTTAATATTAACTAGCTAAGACTAAGCCATTTAACCCCCAACTTGAAATTTTCTTTATTGAAATAAGAAAATTGAACAGGTTGTGGTGTAAGAGGGAGAGCTAATTTTCTGTGGGTCAGCAGGTGGCATGGAGGTTAAGGTGCTGGATCATATATGGCCTATTTTGGAGTTTGAGACCTGGACCCAACAGCCTGAAAATCACGCCACGCATGTGTGCATACATGTCCAAAATCCCAAGAGGAGACTGGAGGAAGAGGGACTGTGACCTGACCATCCCCCTGGGGATGGGGGTGGGAATCATTTCTCACTTTCCCTCTCTCTTTCTGTCTCTGACAAGTGCATGTGCTATATAAGAGAACTAAAAAAAAAAAAAAAAGAAAAAAAAGAAAAAAGAAAAACAACAACAACAAAAAAGATGTAGCTTCTTGACTCCAATTTGGGCAATTTACTTAGCCTATCATATCAACATGTTTCTCATCTGTAAAATGTATATAACTTCCCCTGCCTCAAAAGCATTGTATTGCTTAAGGGAAACAGCAGAAAGTAGCTCAGCTCTCTCAGTATCTGCAATATAACAGGTATTCAAGAAGGCTTCGTTCTCTCTCTACTGTATCTCTTCATTTTTCCAGTTTACTGTACCAGACATAATACAACATTTCCTTAATGACTCAGGGTTATCATTATGAACATCAGTTAATTTTACGTGTCTGAGATGCAGTTGCAGCTGCAAATGTAACAGATCAGGAGAAATGAACCGCAACATGTAACACGCAGTTGACTTGCCTAATTTTGTCATGTGCATGATACTGAATCCACAGCAGCTTGAGATGATTTAACAGGCTCAAAAAAATTGTGAACAGCTGCCTTTCTAAGATTTGATTTTATATAAGGGAGATGAAGGATGTTATAGCGATTCGTCAGCCTCTCAGGTCCAACGTTTGTTTGTTCTCTTACAGTTAACACAACTTTCTTCTGCGTCTGGCCTTGTCTCTTACAAAATGAAGTCGAGGAGAATCTGTGTAGTATCATACTGTATCTACAAAACAGTTCTGTTTTACTGCATTTGCATCCACGTTTTTGCAATACTTTCACGGTTAAATCTGCTTTAGAGCTATCGAAAATCCCTTCTAACTAACTCGTCAGCCCCATAACTGGGTCCTTTGCCTAAACATGCACTGTTCATGACACTGTGACTCTAACCTGCTCTAAGAATCAGCACCAGATGGCTAAACAGCTGATTAAGAGGACACAGCCTATGAGTAGACCTGAAAGTCTGACCTAAGCCATTTGGAGTCTGTTTTGAAAATGCATAAAGGAAAGCTTAAAAAAAAAAAAAAAAAAGATCTGCACTAGTCAGTAATGACCTATTGGTGAAAAAATAAAATGCTATATATAAATCAGAGTCTGAATAACATGAAAAGATATAGAGAGGAGGAGGATGAGTCAGCCGGTGGTGAGACAATGAGTTAGATGTGCAGAGAAAACCAGAAGTAAGACTACTGAGCTGTGCATGTGGATGGGTAAGGGGGTGGTAAGCAGGGATCTGAGGATAGAAGAAAGGGAGGCTGGATGGTGACGCAGCTGTAAAACACAACAGTCTGTGAGACTGACCTATCTGGGCAGGTTCCAGGTTTGTATCTGGAGACCTGCCTGAGTATGCTGATCACGTGCCTTCCCGTGATAAGGGCTGGATACTGTTGCAGATGAGTCATGGTATCAAGACCCTGTTGAGGGTGCTGTCTCTGTCTTTCTCACTTAATGCAAAAAAATTTTTTTTTTTTTAAAAAAAAGAAAGAGATACAAGAAAGGGTACGAGATGGAAAAGGTAGTGGGCAGTGACCTAGGGGTGGAAGGCAGGAGGATAGAGAAGTAGGAAATGAAAAAGTTAGGAGAGGAGGAGAATTGCTGGAGAAGAAACACGTAAGTCCCTAAAAACTTGAGCCACAAGGCCTTTTTGAACTCACTTCAAGTCTGCATATTCTTTAAAATATATCTTTTTCTTTTTTTCTGAGATAACTTGGGAGGACATTTTTTCAACTGATTTTGCTCAACTGATATATTACAATGATATCAAAATACAACCTATGCTGCCTCAGTCATGTTCATCTTATGTAATATGCTGAATTGCCATGGTGTTTGATTGCCCTTTAATTTCAGGTTATTCTCCTCCTCTTTTCCCTGTCCCTTGCCCAAAACCACATATCACATTGTAGAGGCATGAGTTTCCTTTACAAAACCCTGACATATAAATGACTAATTCTCTGAGTGTGCGTGTGTGTGTGTGTTTAGTGTTTTATTAAGACAGTCTCACTGTGCTGTGACTCTCCTGTCTCATCCTCCAAGTAGCTAGAATTATAGGAACTCACCACTGCACTTGGTTCTCTAAGGTGGGCCAAGAATCAAACCCAAATCTCCCACATGGTCTTGGCTCGAGAAGCAGCAGCATCTAGCATGTGTTACCATGGCTGAGCCTGGAGTTCTAGTTCTGTCTCCACATTCTGTCCCTCTCGCTAATTTTACTCTATTAATACTTTTCATTCATGCTCACTTTCTTCCATTTCTCTTCTCTGCCTTTAGTTTTCTAGTACCTCTTGGCTCATTTCTTCTTTGAACACTTCTCAAATTTCACAGGTCTTTAAAAACATAGCATCTGTGCACCATCCACGCACCTTCTGTAGCTTTCACCACCTGTACTCCTCTCTGCAGTTCGTTTCTTCGGTTTCACTGCCAACATATTGGTTTCTAGATTTCGTTCAGTTATTCTTGAGTTTTGAGCAATTCCACACTCTATTCTGATTCAGAAGACAGGATCTGAATAGCTGAAACTGCTCAGTGACATCTTTCAAACAACAGAATCTAACATCCTAGAGCCAACATCGTGAGCCTGGTTAAGCGGGTTCTCTGGCAATCGCTGCAGACAGGACCACTCAGTCTCAAGAGAGATCCCAGTATCATCCCTTTTTGATATATCCAGAATGTGAAAAACTGAGGGGAGAAGGCGCAAACAGGGGTTTAAAAATATAAATAAATTTGAGTCAATCGGTAGAATAGTAGTTAAGCATTATGTACACAGAATTTCAAATCCCAGAAGGTCAACCACAGTTTGTGCTCAATCCCAAGTGGCTCAAAAAACACACTGGGCATGTGTGCGTATGTGCCCGAGATCTTGACAAAGAGAACTGGAGGAAGGACTGCAGTGATCATGTCCCACTGGAGAGTGCATTCTCTCTCTCTCTCTTTCTCTTTCCACTCTCTCTCTACAATAAAGAGAAATGAATACATTTCAGAAAAATATGTAAAAATAAACTTAAGAAGTATTTACTTAACATATTGCCACTTTATAGAAAATGGTTATAGATACCAGGTGCAGTATAGGAAGAAGGTGGGAGAAGGAGGAGAGTCTGAGGAAAGACATTAAGGAGAAAACTTAAGAGGCAAGACATTCATGAGACAAAGAAATGGGTTATTATCTGTTGACGACAACGTGTATAGTATCCCCAACTGGACTGGTGAGAAATGTATTCACCTTGGAACATTTACTTTACAAACTAAGAGACATATGTGGTTGAATGTATAAACTAAATTAAAATAAAAAAGCACCAATCTACTTATGGTACCCACGCAAACTTATAAACACTGTAAGAAACATGAGTTTAAAATTTTAGGGAGAATGACTGTATTCTTGTCTCAGTCCTATCAGTGTATCTCTGAGTCCAAGAAACTTGATACACAGGTTAGGTCAAGCACATAAATTTGTAATTCTAGGTTTTTGTGAATTGAAGTTCTGGTCAGATGGATCCCCACCCTGTGGAATAATGCCTGCTAGAAATCTTACTGAGATGATCATGGCATGAATGCCAAGGGTTGGGTATGATCTGATCACATTATAATGCTTTGCAGATATTTTTAATATTTTTCCTTCTGTCTAATGCTTCCTCCCCTTGCACCTCACACCCACCCTCCACTTCCCACACCACTATCCTTTCCCCCTGCTAAATCCTCTAGCATCCACACCTATCCTATATAATGCTGTATTTCTAAGGCATTATTATAGCCTGTTTCTTGAAAATTTGGATAAATTCTAACTAAAAAGGATGAAAAATCTAAGTCTAAGGCTTTTCTCTACCACCACCCAGCCACATGACCTGGGGTAAGTCATTTATAGGCTTCCATCAACAATTTCTTAGTCCTCAAATCAGTAGATTGATCACACTGGTTATTTGTCATTCCTTACAACATTAAGACTATATTATTACACATTTTTTGGCTTTCAATATATAAGAAAAAGGAAATCTGAGCTGAGAGAACCTTTTAGATGAAGTTACTATCCTATATCAAAGAAAGAGCTAAAGGAACAGAATATTTTGTACACAAATTATTTGAAAACAGGCATGTGAAGATGTCCTATATACAATATAGACGATCTAAATCCATTTAATTATTTTACATGCAGCATCACAGAATTTTAGTTTGATCTATCTTAAGCTTGTTGCCCAAATTTATTTATTTATTTTGGAGAGGATTTTGCTATAGGGCGCATGCACTCACCATAAAGACAGAGACAGACAGAGAGATAGAAAGAAAGAAGTCACCCCCAAGGGAGCATGACCACACCACAATCCCTCCTCCTTCATTCTCCTCTTGAGATCTTGGGCATGCACACACATGTGCCTGACGTGAATTTAAGTCACAGGGTCCAGGGCTCAAACTGCAGCCAACTACATGAGAGCCCAGCGACATAACCATTACTCCAACTGTCCAACTGCTGGTCCCTCAAAATTTATTTTAGAGATAATACTAGAATACTATCAAGTAAATAATAACTAGAACTCTCATCATCAGAATGGTGCTGTACAAGGATTAAGGTAGAGCTAGAGAGCCCATAGCCAGACAGACTTGAAAACTCCGCAAACGTTAGCCTGCATGACTTCCTAAACACACACACACACACACACACACACACACACACACACACACGTACAAATTTTATCTGCTGATGAAAATTTAGACTAATTTCCACCCTCACTCCAAGAATATAAAAAAAGAGCATGTTCCTCAGCAAGGAAAGAGAAGTTAAGAAGCTATTCTGATTTTATCAGTAGGTTCAAGTGTGGCTGGGACCAGGCAGGTAATACAATTTACTGCCAATGTTCAGGTGTAATGGAACCTCATTATTTCTCTTCCTCTTTTAGGCATACATGGGCAGGACATCCTTGTTATAGAAGAAGAAACACCTCTCTCTCCTCCAGGTTCTCTGAGACTGGATAGATGAAGTCATTTCAATTTGTCCTGAAAAGTTGGCCTTGCCCAAAAATATACTGCAAATGAGCTAAAAAAAAATCAAGTGAGTTTCGTGTAGAAGCCTCACTCTTTCATACAGTTTACCAGAGTCTTTCTTCATGAGAATAAGTGCCTAACAACCACGATAGGGTCCTTATTTTTATCTCTTATTTTATGTATGTATCTATTTTTATTTCATTACAAAGTGAAATAAAATAAAATAATCGTGATTTTTGCATTTTTTTCTATACCCTAACCACTAACTTTTTGGTATGCTAAGGAATTAGAAAATAAACACTAAGATTAGGGACATATGGGAAGACGTCAACAATTTTGCCCTGTATTTACTGCTAAACCTTATCATTGTGTTTTATAGAAATGGCCGATGCTAGATAGTTTATTAGAAATTTATTTGGTTAAAATTTCCTCTAGAGAATAAGCACCAATGTTTATTCACTGATATTGGGACATCAGCACAAGAAACTGATAGACATTTGATCAATACTCCAAACTCAGTTTCTCTTAAATTCGGTGTGTAGAAATAATGAGAAAGAGTGAAGAAATGAATTTCTTGATTTCTATGGTTTAATCACAAGCTCTTGAAGTAACCAATACATAGTTTGCAACTGGTTCTGCATTGCCTTTTTGTGTGGTAAAATATCCATAATATAAAATGTACCATTTTAACCATTTATACATGTAAAATTCAGTGACACTGAATACATTTATACTGGTATGTAATCATCATCACTATTTCCAGAACTTTTTATCATCTCAAAGAGAAAATTCTGTTCTTATTAAATGTCTCCGTATTTGGCCCTCCTTCTGATTCCTAGTAAATTGCATTCTATGTTCTATCTCTGTGAGTTTTTTTACACTAGGTAACTGATAATAAATGGAATCGCATCACAATTGTCCTTTTTTATCTAGCTTACTTCACTTAATATAATGTTTGTAATGTTCATCTATGTAATAGTATGTAGTGGCACTTCGTTTTTATTGCTGAATAGCATCCCATTTTATGTATGTACTACATGTTGTTTATCCATTCATATGGTTTTTGTTTTTGTTTGTTTGTTTGTTTGTTTTTTGAAGAGGTTTTTGCTATAGAGCATGTGTACTCGCCAGAAAGACAGAGAGAGACAGAAAGCGAGAAATCACCCCCTAGGGGGGATGTTCACACTGCAATCCCTTCTCCTCCATTTTCCACTCAGTATCATGGGCACACATGTACACACACCTGGTGTGAGTTTACGTAGCCATTACGTTATCTGATGGTCCCTCCACTCATCTGTTGATATACACTTAGATTGTTTTTGCCTTTTAGGTACCACCATTAGCATTGGTGTACAAGTATCTTTTTGAGTTCTTGCTCTCAGTTCTTTTAGGTATATATCCAGGAGTGAATGGTAATTCATATTTTTAGATTTATTTTATACAGTCAATCACTGTACATCATTACAACTTATAAAGTCAATTTTTACAGTATGAATGAATACACTGCATATCCAGCCAAAGATATTATCATACACATTATCATCAACAGATGATTTTTCATTTGGTGTCTCTTAAATGTTTTCCTTCTTTATTTTTCTCCTTGATTCCCTTCATATAGTAATTCCATGTTTCATTGTTTGAGAAACTCCTATTTTCCATAGTAGCTATATCATTATTTATCCCCATCAGCAACACATGAAGTCCTAATTTCTCAAAAAATGCTTCATACTCATTACTTGCCATTTGTTTGGGTAACAGCCATCCTAACGAGGATGAAGTAGTCTTATTGTTTTTGACACAGATATCTTAAAATGGACATGGATGATTGCTTACTTAACATATATGTCTTCTTTCTTCTTTTCCAAAGTCTCGATCTTGCTTAGGTTTATCAACTAGGTCCCTAACTATCGATGGTGATGATGAGTTAGTCAGCCTCTTATAAGGTCACAGTATTCCTCATTACTACTTTTGTCCAAGATGATTCAATCAGACAAAATAAAGCACTTTTAAGAGCTTGAAAGGTTGGGACCAGCAGTTAGAGTAATGGCTATGTCGCTGAACTCCCATGTAGTCGACTGCAGTTCGTGTCCTGGACCCGGTGGCTTAAAACTCACACCAGGCGCATGTGCGTGCGTGCCCAAGATCCCATGAGGAGAATGGAGGAGAAGGGATTGCGGCGTGGCCATCCCCCTTGGGGGGGGTGATTTCTCGCTTTCTGTCTCTCTGTCTGTCTCTGTCTGTCTGACGAGCGCACACGCCCTATAGCAAAAACCTCTCGAAAAAAAAAGAAAGAAAGAAAGAAAAAGAGCTCGAAAGGTAACCTTTTCTCTTTCCATCACGCCATCACTATCCATAATTCACTATAAACAGAGAATATATTGTACCAGTTTTTGTGTGAATTTCCTTAGCATGACAAAAGGAATCTGACTGAGGAAAAAGGAAAAACTACAAATATGAGAGAGAAAAAATAGAAAAAAAAATCCTTTATGATATAATCAAGCCCAAATCACTTAACCATGGTCATGGTCGATAACAATATTGCTAATAGAAATACAAGATGGGCTGAATTTAAGAGAAGGGAAGTTCATTCACAAAGCTCATGATTCTGTGAAAATGGCTAGAAAACTCCAAAAGCAAAAGCCTACAGGATGGTCAAGAAAAGCACAGACTTTGGCAGGCACATGCAGCAAAAGAGCACGTAGTGGCAGCTCTCCGTCTTCTATGATAACTGGCTCTCACAAGAACTAACCTATTCTCACAAGAGCTAGAACTTGTTGGGTCCACACAAGACATCAGTAATCTGCTCATGAGAGTGTTGCCTATGTGATGCAATCACCACGACATAATTAATTACAGCCCAGGAGGCCTCACCACTCCCATCATCTAATCCCCAAACATGAAACTTTGTGGAACAAACCATTATCCAAACCATACCAATCATAGAGCCCATTCTACCTGTGGATGTCTTTTTATATGAGGTAATAATATACTGCTCTAGATTTTAAGTCAGTCTGAGAAGGGTTTCTGGTATCTGAGGCCAAAATCACCTTAACTGATATTCTTTAACTGCAGCAGAGGACTTCAGATATGAACCAAAACACAAGCTGCACCATAGACTACTGGCAGATTTCTATCAATGAATGGACATTTTTATCCACACATCAATATAAACAGAGAATATGCTATCTCTTGCTTACAGGTTTTGTTATCTTAGTAATAAGAATGAAAGGGAAAAAAAAAGTGGAAATGGACCTTCAAATTGAGGGGAAATGAAAATATCAACAACATAGGGAACCAGTAGTTAGCATAATGGCTACGTCGCTGGACTCCCACGTAGTCGACCATGGTTCGCGTCCTGGACCCGGTGGCTTAAGACTCACACCGGGCGCGTGTGCGTGCGTGCCTAAGATCCCGAGAGAAGAATGTAGGAGAAGGGATTGTGGCGTGACCGTCCCCTCTGGGGGGTGATTTCTCGCTTTCTTTCTCTCTGTGTCTGTCAATCTGTCTGTCTGTCTGGCAAGCGCACGCACCCTATAGTGAAAACCTCTAAAAAAAAAAAAGAACATTAAAAGTCCTTATATTTGTTAAAAAAAAAAAAAAAATCAAGGATACTGGAATATTATTGGGTAGTAAAAAGAAATGCAGAACTGATACATGCTACTACCTGGATAAAAGTTGAAAAGATTCTGCTAAGTGAAAGAAGTTAATCATAAAAGACCACATATTGTATAATTTTATATATATGAACTTTCCAGAATAGGCAAATCTATTGAGATAAAAAGTACTATAGCGGCTGCCAAGGGCTGAGAATGATAGGGAGGAAATGGGAGGCAAAGACTCTTGGATACAGATTTATTTTTAACGTTCTGAAAATATTCTAAAATGAATTATGCTAATGATTGCATAAATCTGTTAATATAATAAAAACAATGAATTATGAACTTTAAATAAAGACTTGTATTTATGTGGATTATTTCAATGCAGCTGTTAGAAGAGAAAGAAAAAGAAAAGTAAAGGATGAAATAGACTTTGTTTTAAAACAAGTTTAAACATAGCAGTGAATTATTTGTGACCCTACCTCTAAGACAACGCCCAACTTGCTTGATTTAGTCAAGCAATGCTTTATTTACTTATATTCACCTTTGTGCAGACTACTCTTTCAAAGAAGCCTGAAATCAGACTTTCCTTTGAGTACTGTTTACGTGAGGTAAATTGAACATTCATTTAAGATGCAAGATGATGTTATTTTCCCACCATCCCAGTGTTTTTCCCTTTTCTCCCTATATCTTTTTGATCTTTTATTCAGATGGAGTCAGTCTGCTCATGTGATTATTAGTAAGGAAGTTGTACAGTCGATTTTTCTACTATTTAGAGTGAATGCCAAGAAAACTAAATTTGGGCAGAGCAAGAGGTTCACTCTCAGCAGAATGAACCCAGTTTTCTTCCCCATTTCAGGTCACTCTGGGGTAGAAAAGGGCAAAATATAATGGCCTCCTTGAAACCATTCTTAGCAACTTAAGCAGAACACCTCATTTAGAATATGCCATTCTGATCAACCATCTCCACATATGTCAGTTCACAATGCCCCCTAGGAAGCACTTAGTCTAACTAATAATATGATGAAATGCACTATCATGGGATGTGATGGAAGCATGAAAAGCCAAGATATAAATGACTCTTCTAAAATGTTCTGGTTTGGATTTATGATACACAGGTCAAGCATCACTTTCAAGGCACTCAGAAAGCATTAAAATGGAGAAAATAATATCTCTTCTGGGTCTTATCCTTTCAATGCCATTCAGCAGATTGTTCTTTAAGGCCAGGTCTACACTTGAAAGTGCAAGATCCAGCTTGCCCTTCTGTAGCTGCTGCTTCACTCTCTCCTCTGTTTTAAAAGCAGCCAGAGCTGAAAATAGCTCAAGAATGTGAAGCCTGCATGACAGTGCAGTTGCCATTTCAAACATGCACAGAAAATGTTAAGCCTGAGGCTATTTTTCTCAAATCTGGACAGACCCTAAGAAAAAAAGTTAATACTCCCCCCTAAAATATTCCCTGAAAATAAAGGTCATTTAAAAGGAGTAAACACATGGTGATAATTTGACCTCTAATTAGGCACAAATAGAGTCCTCAAAGCAAAG